GTATTATTTTGTAAATTTCTTGTAGTGTAAAAGGTGTTCCAGTCACTGAAGATCCTTTAGGCTGAAGTTTATTATTAATATCACTGCTTATTCTCTGTAGACTCAGATACTTGAGGTATATGATATTTAATGGAAAATTAATAAATGTATCCACTATTGATTATCTCTTTATTCTGAGTTTGTTTTTAATGTTTTATTGATAAATTTTTAAATTTGTAAATATTGAAACACTATACTTACATAAGAATTATAGTGTATGAACAATACAACTAAAGTAGCAACTATTCAGAATCAGTGGCAACCATGTGAATTCAGTATAGTGATAAAAGTGTCATACATTATAAAGTGCCTTGTGATAAATAAACATATAGGAAGTCCATTTATCAATGGTCTTTGTGGCATCCTATATGATTAACCTGAATGAATGAGTTTAATTTAGAATTTAATTATTAATTGACTTTACTGCCTACTGCTATAGCCATTCTACTCTTTACCAATCAGAACAGAAATCTTTTAACATTATAAGAGTCACTGCTGCTACACTAATGAATATTGGCTGAATAAATTATAAGGTAAAAAGTAAAAGATCTTTGAAGACAAAGGTTCTTTCTGGTTTGAGGAAAGATTTATCTTCTAGTAGAGATCCTGGGTGATGTCCCTTTGCGGGAGGAATGGGAGAGAAGAGAGAATGCTTTTGCCAACAGCCAGAGGGAAGCAGGAGGCAATTTCTTGCAGGCTAGAAAGAAGCCAAGGTTGAGGTCCTGGAGAAGAAGGGACTCATACATTACTGCATGCCAGCAATCTGAGGAAGAGGCAAGACCTCAGAAGTATGGCTGTGTGGGAGGGCGTAGCCAAGGCACTGGGACTAAGGACCAGTCTAGCAGGATATCTCAGCAGGATCCAGTGTGAATCCATGAACACTGGCAGGAGCTGTCCTATGCTTTGATGTTATGTAAGCCCCCCAGCAGCTTTGCAATCTTGTGGGGAGCCCCAGTGAAGGTGGATACTAAGTTCCTTACCAGTCAAGCCAGAATGTGACTCAAAGTTAGATTTAAATTATTTTAAAGAAAATAAAGAGGCGATTTATACAACACACATAAATTTGCAATTCATAGCTTTACACGTGAATGTGTGACAAACAAGGAAACACTGTCCGAAGCCAGCCAGAGCCAACTTGCACATACGAGGGCACAGAGGGCAACAGACATTGGCTACCAGTGAATAAAGTCACTGTGCTCCACACGGAGCTGGCAATGTCAGGCACACAACTTTTTAAATAGTTATTGTTGCATAAATTATATACAAGAAAAGGGTTAAAGTGTCCAGGGTATGCAGAGTGAGGAGAAAAAAATCTTTAGATCCTAGTTTGAACAAACCAGCTGTAAAATACAATTTCAGGACAACCAGGAAGCATGTATGGCAAAATGCTAACCACTGTTGAATCAGATAATAAATGAATGTTTTATGTCTTTTAAATTTTTAAAATAAAGTAACTTTAAAAAACCTTGATTCTTAGGATATTCCAAACATCCAAACACCCATGAGAGGAAAATAAAGATCTTAGGGCACATGGCTCAGCCTGGGCAGTATTCTTTTCTGGTTGGGATTCAAGGGGGTGTGTGAATGCAGGTTGGGGATCCTGGGGGTGTCAGGGTGTAGAACTCTGTGAGCTGGAGTTCACCTGGAGACTGGGGAAGCTTTCTGGCTTTCTGATAAGACCAAGCTGGGAAGCAAGGGATGAATCGAATATGCCCTGTGGACATTGAGAAACTCAAGAGTTCATTTATGGAGAAAATGCCAGATATGGAGACACTCAAATTCTATATTAAAGGAAGTGTCTGGTTAGATGTTCCTATGGGCATAATAGGTCAGTGATGGGCCAGGAGGAGGCTCACAGCCTGGGTAACTAAGCTTCCCAGAAATTCAAACTCATTCCTCTTCACGCACTGATCATTTCCCTGAGATGCCCGAGGCTGGAGATGGGACAGGAGTATAAGGCAAAGACAGAAATGGGATAATGTTGAAAGAAACTTCATGGTGAACCAAGTTTTTCATTGTATGGGAAACACTTTATTGGCCTTCACTTGGAATAAACTGAGGTGTTAACTATACATGGGTAGGAAAAAATAGAAAACAAAAACTAAATGTATAAAGGAGGAAATCTGGGTGCAGTGGCATGTGCCAGTAATCCCAGCTACTGGAGAGGCTGAGGCAGGAGGATCGCAAATTCAAGGCTAGCCTGGGCAACATCACAAAACCCTGTCTCAAAAACAAGCAAAGAAAAAAAAAAAAAGCAACAGATACAGAAAACCACCAGAACAAAAGACCAGCTCAAATTACTTGAATTATTGAATTTTCCTTTGATACTGTCTTATTGTTTAGGTGTCATGAAATTTTATGTGATATGATTACAACAATGAAAATAAAGGACTGTATATGTATAAAGCAAAAAAAAAAAAAATGAAGCTAGAAATAAAAACCACTGTTTTGTTTTTGAGAATGGCTAACTATGCTATTTGTTTGATCTTCTTCATTTCTGCATTTTCTCAATTTTCTTTTAAGGGCAATTTATACTGGAAGAAATACTTATGTGTTCTGGAACGACCTGGTCCTAGGGTATAAGAACCAGCTCCACAGTGCTGTGAGACCCAAGCAAACAGACCCAGGATTGCACCCAGGGCAGGTTATTGGAGAAATTACTGATGGAAGCATGGTCATGGGCAGTAGCAAGACCAAGTGGATCCCCACAATTTGGTCAGAAAGGAGTTTATAAAGTGTTCAGGACAAAAGTGATGTCATCCAAGTTAGAATATACCTAGTTTATCTCAAGTTAATGTCAAAGAGTCAGGCACATTCCTGGTGCCTGGGTCCAGTTGTAAGTTTCCACATACTACTATTTATAGTGTGCTGGGAAACTATGCAGGGAAAACTGATCAGGGCAATTCAGGGGTTGATCAGGTTGGTTATGACTCAAAGTGGCTGCAGATTTGTTAAACTGAATTTATACATTATGTAAATGTAAAGGTGAAAGTGATAAGGGGTATAATCCAGAGAAGGGCTGGATTCACCAGTGTGCGATTTGTACAGTTGCCCAGGGTCTTATGCTCGGAAGAACCTCATCTTGGTTTAATGCTCTACTGTTGCTGTCTTAAATCATTCTTAATTTTTAAACCAGAAGCTTCATATTTTCTAAGCCCAGAGACAATTAAATGCAGATCTGTCGACCACCAAGGTCAACAGTTCCTCGACATGGTACTGTTTCTCCACACCAGCTGAAAGGCATCTTCTAAACTGGAGGTGTGGCCAGACAGGCATCAACTCTGAGATTTAATAGAAAGAGCCCTGAATTAGGAATGTTCATATCTAATTCTAGTTTTGCCACTGGTTAGTTGTAAGGCTAGCTCTATAACTTCCCTTCCAATACTAAAGTCATTGGATTCACAGGGCAATTAACATGCCAGCATTAGAATCAAGCAACAAGTGTTTTATCTAGTGCCTTTCTGTGGAAGGTACTATTCCAAATCGTGACGTAGTTCCACCCCAATTCATCAATCATCTTTTAGGGCATTGCTCCTTTTTTCCTGGATTGACTTATCTGAAACCCAAGTTCTTCTTAAAAAAATTTTTGTTTGTTCTTTTTAGATATACCTGACAGTAGAGTGTATTTTGACATATACACACACATGGAGTATAACTTATTCTAATTAGGATCCCATTTTTGTGATTGTACATGATGTGAAGCTGAAACCCAGGTTCTATTTGGAATGACTGGAACCCCTTTCATTGATTCCTTACAAAGCAAGCATGTGAATTTCCAAGATACTGGGCCACTGGGAGATAATAATCCCTAACGTTTATGGAATGTGTGTAGAAAGGCCAGGCTCTGTGCTAGGTTCTTATTCCCTCTATTTCTTATTTAATCCTTTTCATTGGTTTGACACTTTTTTTTTTTTTTTTTGGTACTGGGGGTTGAACCTAGGGTGCTTTACTCCTAAGCCACACCCCCGCTACTTTTATTTTCTAAATTGCTGAGGGCTGGCCTCCAACTTGTGATCTTGCTTCTGCATCCTCCCGTGTAGCTGGTACTACTTTTATCCCTGTTTTCTCAGATAAGAAACCGACGTTTTGAGAGATTAAGAAACTTAAGCTAGAAAAGGGTCTGTGTCCAAAAAGCACATGTTCTCTTCACAGTGCCACTAGGCCAATACCAATAATAATGAAACACTGTTGTTGCCTCTTCTACCCAGCAAAGTCCTCAAAATCTACGTTTCCCCAATCCCAAGGTCAAACGGTGGTGGTGAGGGGATGTGGAGAATGTCAGAGAAGGACGTTAATGGAGAATTTTACAGTCTGGGAGCAGGGCTATAAACGCAGTACAGTGTACTGAGTGCGGTAGAGTTTGGGACAATCCATCTAAGCAGCCACGGGGTACAACAGTCGTCTTCTATCTCCAACCAAGACGAGGCAACGCTCCCCCCAAACCCAGTCCCCACACTTTTCGCTCTGAAAGGCGAAACTGCTAGAACTAGAGGGCGGCTGTAGGGTTTAGGCGCGAAGCACGCATCATACTCTTCCGCAGCTACCCACCTCCTTCAGACGCACGTGTTTAAAAAGAGTCCCTGGCTCGCCCGGCCCGCTCCACCTCTGCTGGGTCGCGGGCCCCGCCTGCACTACTGGCCTCAAGTTCATCGGAAAGGCTGGTGCGCACGACTGCAGTGGCGGCGGCGACCAAGCGCCCAGCAGCGTTTTGCCACCCACCTTTCCCAGCCCCCGCCGCCGCAGTCTCCGCCCGCCGGGGAAGGCGTGCTCGGCGGAGCCGGAGGGAGGGTGGGGCGCGGAGAGGAAGGGGATCCCGGGCCGCGCCGCTACATTTCTCCCAGTGGCAGAGGCAGAGGCAGCGGCGGCAGCAGCAGGTGGAGCGAGCTCCGCCTCAAGCAGCACTTGGCCAGAAACCCGCCGCTACTACCGCCCGGGAGGGAGCTTGTCCGCTGGGCTGGAGTCCAGACCCGCCCCGGTCCGACCCCCAGTTTCCCAGGCACTGGGGTTACCGAAGCCGGTATCCCTGGGCTGCGGTTGGGGCCGGGGCCGGGGCCGGGGCCGGGAGCGCCTCGGAGCGCACAGCTGCGCTGTTCTGGAAGCCCACGTCCGGGACGCAGGATTAACGGGACCTGGCTTTTCTGGGCTATCCAAAGACGTGTTCTCCCGGGAAAGAGCCACTGTTGACTGTGGGATTTGGGAGAAGCTTGGAGTCCTCCTGGACACCTCGCTGGACGCTCTCCATTTGCGCCCGGCTGGCGCGGGAGGGTCCTGAGCAACGCGCTTGCCTTTCCTCTTCAGCTTAGGCGCGGAAAGCCGGGAGCTCTTTCCAGGGGAACGGGACCTCCTCATTTGGTACTCCGTGGAACCCTAGCATCTCTCCTCTTGTTGGTCTCCAGGGCCTCTCTAGTTGGCACTAATCTGCAGGTGTTCTCTACCGATTTGGTTTCTTCTTCGATTTGGGGACACTTGTCACCAAGGACTCTCACGGCACCTTTCCCTGTCTCCGCGGGTGGGCTGGGTCTTAGGTCTCCAGAGCCTGCGGGAATTCTATCCCTGTTCGCTGACCCTAAAGCCTCTCTCCGCTAGCGGTGCCAACCCTTAGCCACTGGCCTCCAGGGGAGTGTGCAGACGGGACTCTGTTCTTCCTCCGTTTGAGAGAGTGTGGCCCTCTGGGGGCATTCGTCTTTTAGGGCTTCTTTGTGTTTGGGAGATTGGGGTCCTTTGGCCATGGCCTTCACTTTCGCCGCTTTCTGCTACATGCTGTCCCTGGTGCTCTGCGCTGCGCTCATCTTCTTCGCCATCTGGCACGTGAGTAACCCGCAGCGGTTTCTAACTCTTTTCATTTGCCCCGAACACGCTCCTGTCCACCTCCTTTTCTGATTGCACCTCACTTTCTTCACATAGCGGCGTGGGTGGTCTGGGAAGCAAGCCAGGCGTACCTGCGTGTTACTCTCTGCAGATCCCATGTCCCGGGGCAGGAGACCGTTCGCCGAATTCTGAGGCTAGGAGGCGCAGCAACGCGGGGCGCGCCCTCGGTACCCTAACTGGAGGCGGAGGGATCCTTGGTGCCCAGGATAGCGCACCCTCCCCAGGACCTAGTGGAGAGTCCGGGGCAGGGGAGAAGTGGCTACCACCCCATCCAGCCTACTCCTTCCTCCTCTCCTCCTCTCGTGCCCGCGGGAGAGGAAGAAGTGCCTCCGTCGGACCTGGCAATTAGTCAAGTAACTATAACAACTAAACATTTAAAATGTCAGCATCTGTGGTGGGTTGCATTTAGACATAATTGGAGACAAAGTGAAAATACAATGGGAGCTCCTTGTAAGAGGAAGTAGGGAGAGGCCGGCCTGGGGAGGGGAGGGAAACAAAGTGACTGTGGAAGGCGGCGGGAAGGCAATGAAGAGGACCAAGAGGAGGCAAGGGAGACTGGGGAAGGAAAAGGATGAATAAGGCCTGGGAGGTCTGTCCTGCTGGGGTTCCCAACCATTGAAGATCCCAGAGATTTCCCACAGGTGACACACCTGGCAAGTTCTGTCATGCCTAAGTGGTGCAGGATTTACCCCAGGACTCCCCAGCAGACATCTTTTTAGGGACTAAGCTGGTTGAAGGCAGTTCTGAGTCATGGGTCTTCAGGTCTAGGGTGGTGGTGAGATGTGGGTTGAGAACCAGAAGCCCCCAAAGAGAAAAAGTAAAGAGGTGAGTGAGCAGGACTGAGGAATCTGGTCTTATAGACTGTGGGACGTTTTGCAAGTCCACTGAACTCTCAGAGTTTCCTTCTCAAAGGTTGGTTAAACTGCCCATTCTCTTTGTGGGAAGGTTGGTAAGAAAAAAGGCCAAGGTCAGGTGCTTTAGAAGGAGCACTCACCATTAATAGCCTGGTTCTACCAGCAAGCCCAGATGACAGGGATGGATTCTGAGACCAACCAGTTCCTGGAGGCACCAGCTGGTGAGCCTCTAAGAGATTGCATGCAATGGAAGATGACCCAAAATGAAGACCTGAAGGAAATTGTGGGGTGGTGAGATGCTGGTGTTTTGTATGAGTGGTTTTTAGTATGAGAGGGTTTATCTTAAAAATAGAACGCAACAGCTCCTGCAGCTCCTGCTACAAGGCACTGTGACAGGGTGCAGAGGGAAACCTGGGGTGGAGGAAGTCTTCTAACCATGTAACCTTTGGAGAGATGCTTGCTGGCTTCCTGCCATATCTGTAAAGTGAGAAAGTTGACCTGGATAATCGCTAAGCTTTCCCCCATTTCTCAAATTGTGTGAATCCATTTAGTTGATTTGACAATCTAGGGATGACAGACGGATTCACACACAGCAATTGAGGGACTGATAAAAAAAAAAATCCTGCTAGTCAGAAGTGGTGGAATTTTGAACCCTTTCTTTTTCTGCCCTGAAATGCTGGGTTTACTCTCTGGCAGGACATTAAGCCTTGAAGTTGTTGATTGTTTTAAGGAAAAATGAAACTTTACCTAATTTAGAATAGAATAGGATATGGAATAGACCATGCCTAAATGGTGCAGCAAACCTCTGCTCATGTATTCTAAAGAAAAAAAAAATCAGCTTCTTTGGATTTGGGGAATTAGTTGCATTCTTGGAGGCTAATATTTCACTTGCTGTTTCTAGTTTGGTTGTGTCCTGAGGGTGGCAGTTACTAGAAGCTCTCTCAACTCTCTCAGGCTTGGAGTTCTCTAAGCTAGCTCCTGAAGCAGAAGAGGAAGAATAATTTTTTCTCCCTTGGGGAAACACTAAATAATTCAAGAACAGGTTAATGAAGTGGGTGGTTTGTGCAGCTGTTGACTAAGAGACATTTGAATGATGGTGTATCAGTGACCCTGGGTTGGGCTCTACTCTCAAAGTTCCCAACATGCACCCCTAATCTAGGGATGGCTGGATGCAGTCAAATCTCAAGTCAGGTCCTGTCCAGATTTTTCATGGAAGTGACAAGATTTCTGTTTTTTTATTTTTAATTTTTTTTATAGTTGTAGATGGACAGCATGCCTTTATTTATTTATTTATTTTTAGGTGGTGCCGAGGATCGAACCTAGTACCTAGGCAAGCACTCTGCTACTGAGTTACAGCCCCAGCCCAAGATTTCTGTTTTTTAAAAAGCATTTGTACACTTTGAATTTAGACTACAAAATTCCTGAGGTTCACGTCTTCCTTTTCTAGGCTCCCTTCTCTGTAAATAAAACAACTCAAACCTTACTACGCTGATTTGGTTCTTGAACATGTTGATTTTAGGGCACACATTACATGTTTGTGGATGTTGGTTATACAGTGGTGATTTCAACCAAAATTTAGGAGAGTTGATTTTATGTTGGACTGTGTGTTTATCTTCTCTCCAGCTTCTTATATTCTTTTTTTTTTTTTTTTGGTACCAAGGATTGAACTCAGGGGCACTTGACCACTGAGTCACATCCCCAGCCCTATTTTGTGTTTTATTTAGAGACAGGGTCTCACTGAGTTGCTTAGTGCCTCACTGTTGCTGAGGCTGGCTTTGAACTTGAGATCCTCTTGTCTCAACCTCCCGAGCTGCTGGTATTACAGGCGTGCCTCACCATGCCCTGCTTCTTATATTCTTTACACATCTCTTGTGTAAAGAATAAATGTGATGAGCTCTATCAATTGTTCAGCCTACTAACACCCCAAGTAGAGTTGGACACGTAATATACAACATTTGGAAAGCTTGCCCCACTCCCATACTTGAATTGTACAATAGGAAGGTGAAAGAATTTTCTTGCTTATTTGCATGTACCTACTTAGGAGCAATAATGGATGTTGTTTATCCAACCTCTGCCCTACACTTTATAGAGGCCCTCTTAGATGTATCTACAATTGTCTACCTCTCCCTTCTTCCCACTGGAAATCTAGAAGCAAGGATGGATGTAGCCAGCCTTAAGTACATTTAAGACCTATTTTTTTCTTGAAAATTTATCTGTGTTTGTTTTCAAATGAAATTATTTCAAATCTGCCACCATCTTTGAGTACATCTGTTTTATTTGGAAGAAGCAGAATAATCTTTTTTCCCCCCGCATGGTTTTGCCTACCTCCCAGGCAATCCTTAGTCCTCACAATTGACATTTTATAAATGAAGGATGATGGATCAGAGAAATGACACTTGCCCAAGGTGGCACAGTTGCTAAGTATTGGAGCTGGGATTTAAACGGAGTCTGTGAGACTCTTAGGTCCACGTCCTTTTTCCAACTGTAGTCACTTTTTTTTTGGATTAAAGGCTTACTTTTTTTCCCCTGAATTAATTAAATTTTAGAGTTGGAATTTCTGATTGGAATTATAACAAGACTAAGCACTATATATTCCTTTTTTTAAAAAAAAATCAGATATTCTATTTCTTTCTTTTTTTAGGAAAATTAGGCTTTTGCCTATAAAATTATACAGGTTCATTGCCTCAAATTTTGAAAATACAATGATATATAGTGAAACAAAATCACTGTTACTCCTACCATCCAGAAAGGACTAAGCATCTTTTGTGTAATTTAAAAAATTGCATGTGAATGTTTAGAACGAAAAAAAGTGTTCTAAAGGGTTTCAGATGTGAAGTGTTGTCTGTTTTCAGCCAAAATGAAATGAACAGTGTTTACTCACAGGAATCTTCTTAGCTCCAGCTTGGTGGAGCCCGTTTGCAGAGTGTCTCATTACATAAACATAGATGAAGCCATTCTTTAAAAGATCAAAGATTCATTACTATTTATTTTAGGTTTTTAGTTTTTAAAAGATTTTTTTTTTTTTTTTAGTATCTGGAGGCACTCTGATATAAATTGTCTGAGTTTTGACTATTTACAAATAAAATTCCCAATAATATTCCCTAGAAAGATTTGATGCATTATGTCATCTTGAAGTTTCTGTGGATTCACAGCAGCATCTGATCTGCCCTTGGACAGATCAGATCCATTAAAGATGGATCCTGAAAGATGATAACACATACATATTTATGGAAAGGCCGTTTTGCTAGACAGAATGTCTTATGGCATAACTTTTTGGTCATTTCTGGCCTGTCACAGATGTAGCTTCTGGTAACAAAGTAAATGGCTCAGTATCTCAAAATTACCCATCTGGAAATAAAAATGGGTTTATGTGTAATAGTAGGATGCTTGGGGTTGACTGTAGCCTCCCTCTTTCCTTCCTTCCTTCCTTCCTTCCTTCCTTCCTTCCTTCCATGAATGTAAGAGTAAGATTTATTCAAGTGTGAATAGCAACAGAAGTCCTGTAGGTGAGAGGGTACCCAATAAAGGTCGCTCAATAGCCTTCTTTTTAAAAACACTACTTGGACCTACTCAGTTAGGGTACTCAGCTCTTTGCCAGGCCTCCTCTTTTTGTTCTGTTTGCACCACTGCCATCCCACCTTCAGAAGTGATGTCTGCTACTCCAGCCTGTCCTGCCCCCCTCTCCTGCCACTCCCAGCCCCATCCTTCTTTATCTCCTCTTAGCTAGGGAGGGGAGGAAGCTCCAGGAGAGTAGGGACCTTTGCTGCTTCATCCATGTTTCTTCAGAGCCCAGAACAGTGCCTGACATGTACAGGATGCTTGGTAAATACTTGTAGAACAAATTTTTGAGCCCTTCCTGATGGGTACTTTTATGGCAAAAATAGTAACTCACATCTGATTTGGCTTCTGGCCAGTTCTCAGGGACTACTTCCTAAGAAGTTTGGGCACAAACATTTTTTTTTAATTTTTAAAATATTTTTTACTTTTTGATGTCCCTTTATTCTTTATTTATTTATATGTGGTGCTGAGGATCGAACCCAGTGCCTCACACATGCTAGGCAGGTGCTCTGCCACTGAGCCATAACC